GTTGCTAAATCTGACACAGACATACTGAGCAGTTATTATAAAAAAACCCAATCCCAGCACAGAGGGGTTCAGTGAATGTGATGTTGAATGTGTGTAAGTGTGTGAGAGTGTGTGTGAGTCAGAGACGCTGTAGAAGGACAGAGAGCCGGCCGACACGTCCAGATACACTCCTACTCTGTTCGATTGTGGTAAAGGTACAGGAATATCAATGCTGATTTTATCATACCAGACAGTGCATCTGCCCTTAATGCAGCTCAAACTCCAGGACTTATCATTGAGTCCATAATCACAGTCATCACTTCTTCCTTTCCTGCTGATTCCTCTGTATGTCACTGCTATGTCAACCCAGCCGCTCCATTCAGCCTCCCAGTAACAGCGTCCAGTCAGACTCTCTCCACACAGAACCTGCTCATAGTGCTCAAATCTCTCTGCATGACCAGGATACGGCTGATGCTCTTCCACAAGCGTCGCCTTCCTGTTCTCCTCAGACAGAATGATGTAAATGTTTGCAGTGTTTGGATCCAGTGTGAGATCACAGGCATCTGAACACAAGAGGAGAGATGAGAACTGTATCATGGACAGTTTTTAAGCGATGCTGTATACATATGAGTGTTGTGTGAAGACCTACATTTTTGCAGTCCAGGTCTGATCCTGAAACGTTCTCCAGGATTCAAACTAGACAAACATATACACACACCAGACATTTAAAAACTGTCAGAGAAACAGAGCCTCACTAACATTAACTCAAAATCACTGGCAATCACGTTTAAAATTTATCTAATGACTTATTTATCAATATCTACATCATCTAACCTCTTAATACTGTAGCTACAAAAGTTTTATTATTATTATTTTGTACAACGTACACTACCAGTCAAAAGTTTTTGAACAGTAAGATGTTTAATGTTTTTTAAATAAGTCTCTTCTGCTCACCAAGCCTGCATTTATTTGATCCAAAGTACAGCAAAAACAGTAAAATTGTGAAATATTTGTACTATTTAAAATGACTGATTTCTATGTGAATATCTGTTAAACTGTAATGTATTCCTGTGGTTTCAAAGCTGTATTTTCAGCATCATTACTCCAGTCTTCAGTGTCACATGATCTTCAGAAATCATTCTAATATGCTGATTTGCTG